TAGAGCGTGAAATGATCAAACAATGACAAGATAATAGGAAAAATTGTCATGAGAAAGAACAGGGGAAGGTCCCCAAACATCCATGTATAACAAATCAAATGGTCGAGTGCTAGATAGGCTAGAAACTGAAAAGTGAAGTTTGTGACTTTTATGAAGGGAACAAGATTCACACGAAGAAGATGACAAGGTAGTAACGGGAAGAGACTGGTTACGCAGCACACATGAAAGGAGCTTGAGATGTGGGTGGCCCAGCCGATTGTGCCAAATCGCCGACGGTGCCTTGGACGCCGACATAGCCAGTCGAACAGATTGAGCATCCATTAGCAGCTCATAGATGTCACCTTTATTCTGGCCTCGTAGCAGATGCGCCCCCGTGGCTAGATCCTTCACAACGAAAAAATAAGAAAAGAATTCCACAGACATAGGATTAGATTTACACAATTGGGCAACAGAGAGCAAATGACGCTTGATGGCGGAAACACACAGCACATTATGAAGTTCCAAGCGAGACATCGGGGAAGGTAAATGAGAGGCACCAACATGAGTAATAGTCAAACCTGACCCATCGCCGATAAGAACCTCGTCCGGACCATTGTAATCGATATATAATGAGAGATTGCCGAGGTCAGGAGTCATATGGTTGATGGCGGCAGAATCAACCAACCAGCTTGAAGAGGACGGCACAGCCGAGGTGAAATGAGCTTGGGGACGGCCGCGGAGACGATAACATTCTTTAGCAACATGACCAGGTTTGTCGTAGTATTGACACACCAGGTTTTTCCGGCCAAGGAGCGATGCCGCATGAGGGCTAGAGAGATAGCCAGGTGGTGCTCGAGGAGAAGATGGCCCACAGGGAGAGCGAGGACTGTGCGGCTGGCGCTGATAGGAATCAAAGCCGTATGTGGGCGGCGGCGTAGGGGAGCTGCGGCGAGACCCACCTGCAGGCCGAGAATAAATACGCCCCCGACCGGTAGAGAAAGTAGATGTTGGAGAAGTGGAGGATACTTGCCGGATGGCGGCCAAATCCGCCTCATACTCAACGAGGCGGTCGTGAAGGTCTTCTAATTTAATAGTAGTGTCCCGTGCACGAACCGCAGCAACAATCTGGCCATATTCCTCACGCAAGCCACGAATAACATGGAGAATCAAATCTTCATCTTTAACTGGGTCATTGACAAGGGCTAATTCAGCAGCGGTGGTGCGCATAGCCTGAAGATAGATGGAGACTGGACGAGCACCCTGAACCTTGCGGTTGATTTTTTTCCTTCAGACTGATAATTCTTTGTCGAGACTGACTCTCAAACATGCGAGGGTTGTCCAAGCCTCACGGGAGGACTCGGCGGCAGAGACGTAAGGGGAGACACCCAGAGACATGGAGGTAAGAATGGCGTGAAGGATTAACTGATCTTGCCGATACCAACGTGTTCGATCGGCCTGAGGAACAGAGGCTGCCGGGGCAGGATGAGATCCATCAAGGAACTTCAAAAGATCTAGCCCTCGAAGAAGGTGAACAGCTAAGCACGCCATGTGGTAAAATTTTCACCGGTAAGCTTGGTGAGTATCTGGGAAGCTGGATTGAGGGTGATAATGGTGTTGGTGATGTCGAGGTTGATCACCGTTTCACCAGAACCGTTGCCCATAATTGCAGTAGAGAAGAAAAAAGGGAAAGAGAGGTGTGGCGGCTGTGGATAGTAATTCGTGTGCTGATTAGAGGAGACGATATTAGCTGAGATAGGAAAGAGACCGAAAAAGAGGAAAAGCAATGAGATTTGAGGATTGGTTGTTAAGGAAATCGGATCTTGTGCTCTGATACCATGTGGAAACTTGAATGGATTTACTATTATGATTTACATTAGTTAGGAGAGGTATATTAAATACCCTCTCTACAATAGAAATCCAACGTGTGTGGCTACTAAGGAGGAGCCTCTATGTACATGACCTAAGCCACTACTAACAATAAGTAATTATAAGAAATAAATAATAACTAATTTAAGTAGTGCCCTTAACATCATGCAATTAACCCAACATAATATACCAGTTCAGATCGTACCGAACGGCACCGTACATACGTGTGGGACCATATCCTCCAATCAATATATGGAGGTTCTCTGTAGCACCCCATTTCATTCCCTTTTTCCTGCTCTCTGCGCAGAATAAGGAAGGATGCTTTGGTCTTTTCGCAATTTAGTAAAGTAGGAGACGTGAGACATCTAGGTTATTTGTGGGCTTTAATGCATGTACTTTGTTTTTTACTTTGTTTTTTGGGCTTTGTTCATCTCTTCATTAACGATTAATTGATGGTGGCAACACCAATTCAATTCATGTCGATAAGGCCCACAAAGCACCATACATTATTAGGATTGGATAGTTAATCTAATTGTGAAAATATAATTATATGGGGCGGATAGGGTACAAAACTCCTGCCTGCAAAATCATGTACAATTCTGGTCGTACAATCGTATTATGATACGTTGATAGGATGAGTAGTGGTTTTGTAGTAGTGAATTTTGTATCCTATCTCTTCCCTTATTATAATGAGTTTCAGCATATGAATATAAAATCATACTGGGAGATCCAATAGGATTAGGATCGAGTAGGGACCTACTATTAGCGAGAGGTTTATAATTGATTATATCTCTATTTTTAACTCATATGTCAATTTTTCATATACTGGAAAATCAAATTGGTTGGACTTTACAAGATGATATTCATTTTGATATATTTCCAGAAAAAGTAAATGTTGCTCTAAGAGAATTGAACCTACGTGTAATTCATTAATTTATTTATTTTTAATCTATATGTGATTAAGTTTTGTGTAGCTGCTGAGATTGCTTAATTTGTTCATTTTTATAGAATATTATATACCAGATGACTAAGAGCATACAAATCAATGTAATTATCATGGACCAGAAAACCGGATCGTACCGGCCGGTTCAACCGGTTTAACCGGGAATTGGACAAAAAACGAAACGGTAGGCTGTTATGAGCCTTTTTACCGTATCGGCCGGTTTTTCCGGGTTAACCGGCACAAAGCGAGAAACCGCCCGATTTTTATCTAACCGGCGGTAGCCTATATCCAGTAAAAAACGTTGTCGTTTACATAACGAAAAAAAAAAGATAGCCTGCATCCAATCAACAAACGCCCAGAAACAAAACCCTAATCTCTAATCATATGAGTCTTCTCCAGTCTCGTCCAGCCCCGCCGTTTTTGGGCGTTTTTTACAAAAAAAATATGGTTTTAAATTTAAAAATTCACAATTATGGTCATTTTGTATGCAACAATAACCAAATATGTTTAGCACGATCTAACAAATAAAAGTACACTTTCGAGCCTTTAGGTAAGAATGTAAAGCATTTTTCTGTGTGTAATAAGTAAATAAATAATTGTACACTTTTTGAGGATTTCAAAGTTACCTGGGGAAAAATCAATCATAGATTGATTTCGAAAAAAAGTGTTTATTAATTTCAAATAATCTATTGATGTCCAAATATGTGACAATACCAACTTATAGGTATAATTTTTATTTTAAAATTACCTGATTTTGTTAAAGTTCTGAGTCTCAATTCAGGTACAGAAAATGCATTGTAAAAATAACTTTGTGAACCACAACCATTACCCAATTGAATAAAATTCTTGCCAAAGCTATTAATGTTATGTTTCATCTTGGCAATTGCATTCCTCTGTCTCCGAAACATACGCACACATTTTTTTATTTTATTAGTTTATTACTTGAGATGTTAATATTCTTTACTGGTGATTGACCAATTTTGTGAGTGAAAATTTATTATCTTGAATTGAAGCTACGTCCTACGTCCTAATCTTGATATTCCCTAAGTAATTGAATTTCACTTATAGTAACATTCTTTTTTTTATATAAGGGTCACTTATAAGTTATAGTAACATTCTTATACATTGAAAAATCTTTCTTATTATGTTGAAATTTAAAAATACATCTTGCATTAGTTTATTTTAATGATTTTATGATAATACAAGAACTTAATGAATTGAATTGGAAAATTGCGGTAATATTAGTTTGAATCTAATGATTGATTAAGATCTAGCAACATTACACACTATAGTCGTTATGTGATAATTTACCTATCCTCTTTCATTTTCCGTATGCGAAATTTAGTCAATTTAAGAATCATACTCACTAGAGATTATATTGCTCTTCTAAATAATGAATCTCAATTATCAACATTTTTCATATTTAAGACCCAATTCGAATGGTAGATACTACCATATATGCGTCGAGTTTTGGATACTACCATATATGAGTTTGTTGTTTTTGGCCATCAAGAATTCGGATTTTAGAGTTAGTGATGAAAAGCTACTAAAAATAATGGAAGAATGATACCTCATCTCCTTAATGTCTCATTAATTGAAAGAATGTAGTATTTGCGAAAAAATTATTAAGGTAAAAGTTCCAAGTTTAGTGATTACAACATCACAAATCCCGTAACTCGATTTACAGTTTCAAAGATAATCAATGATGGGGAAAAATTAACCTCCAACATCATTTGTGATTAAAATGAAGTAAATTACATTTCATATATAATTATGTTTTGTGTTTGAATTTGATTCGCAAAAATACAAAAGATAGAAGCGTCTATTGATGATGAAGATAGTGGAGTTAATGATGAAGATTCTTGATGCTAAAACCGGTTGCATAGGAATACCTATAATATCGTTACATTAAGTTTAATATGAGCATAGAAGGCAAATCTTTATGATAGATGCTCATTTGTAGCAATTGAATGCATTTTGACTTACGTAGTAGTAAAACCTGGAAAACCAGCTTGCTATCTATTTTGTAAATTGATATCATTGTTTGTTAATTCACATGATGTTGACATATAATCATGACAAGAATATAAAAAGAGAGGAGATTACTGAAATTTAACCTTTAAAGTTTTGTTAATTATAACTATTATATTGCAATCGGCCAACGGACCGGGGTACAATCTAGTTGTATATAGCTTGGTCCATGATATGTGTCCTAGACTCCTAGTCTTTAGGTTTGAACTTTGAACCGCAGACCGTATAGTTAGTTGTAGTATTTTAGAGAAAAAAAACCGAAATAACTGCCCAAGTGCCCATTCCCATTACCTAGTCTCGCCCAAGCCTCACACCAGCACTAGCTCACGGTGAACCAGCAAAACCACTGGCGCTCGCTCTTCGCACCATTTCACCATCTCTGCGCGCCTTTTCCTTATCACTCTGCTGTTTCAGAGTTTCGATTTCGGTTCGTGGACTCGACAAGGTAATCCTCCGCTTTCAGAGTTTCTTTTGGGATGCAACTACAGTAATTAGTTAGGTTATCCCAATCTGCATCTGTTAGCTATTTGAGACACCCTTTTCTTGCTTCGACTTTGTATAGTAACCCGCAAGATGAAGCGGACGTGCGACTCCAGCACCGACAGACTTACCGACCTTCCTGTCGAAGTGATACAGCGCATTCTGGTGTTCTTACCCATTAAAGATGCCGCCAAAACTAGTGTGTTGTCAAGGAAATGGAGGCATCAGTGGAGGAGTATTCCTCAACTTGTCTTTGATGATGGTTTTGCTCGAATATCTCGGGTGTCTGAATCTGAATCCAAGGTGAGGAACAAGTTCACAATGCTGAACCTCTACAGGGCCCTGCTTGTTCATGATGGGCCAATAACAAAATTTGTGCTTTCAATCCCTGGATTGACCCCCTGTGATGAGATTGACGGTGTTGTTCTTTACCTTTCTAATAAAGGTCTCCAAGACCTTACCCTTGAGTTTTACGGTCCTGGGTATAACGCAGACGGTTATCAGCTGCATTCTTCCTTGTTTTCTGCTATTCACCTGAAATGCCTGACACTTCAGTCTTGTGAAGTCACACAACCATCTTGGTTCATTGGCTTTAGCAAGCTTACCGATCTTCGATTAGAACAAGTTACTTTGCCCTGTGATTTCTTCACGAATTTCCTCACTATGTGCCCGGCGCTTGAATCGTTGAGGGTTACAGATTGTGGCGGTTATGCTGCTGAGCTTGAAATTGTCGCTCCATTTCTCAAATCCTTCCACTTGAACGGGTCTCTCAAGGATATCAGTTTCAAGTGTACACCGCGTCTGTTAAGTCTCACGCTTGATGTGTACGAGACCGACATGCATGAAATGGTAGCCTTTTTTGCTTCTATCACGACACTCCAGCAACTTTGTATCAGCACTCAATTTATGAGAGTAAGTTGCTTTGTCACGACCAATTTCGATTCTTGTGAAATTGTCTTCTGGGCTGCTTTTACTCCTCGATGCTGTTTATTGTGCTTGGTTTTCTCTTAGGAACTTGCAGCAGCTAATAAGAATGTCCCCACCAGGCTTCCTTCTCCTCTTCACGGGTTAGAAGTCCTTGAAATAATTGATGTAGCATTAGATAGCTTGGAGCTGAAGCATGTCTTTCTTTGTTTGATCACGAGTTCCCCCAACTTGCGCAGGCTCAGAGTTGAGGTTCGTTGTGTTTGCCAACTGACTTTTCTGTTTGCAGGACTTTAAGAAGTGCATAAATTTTTGTTATCAATAACTGACTGACTCTTCACAAATTCTCTTGTAGATTGACTTTGGCCAGCTACTTTATCTGGCCGGAACTACTGAATTTAGCAGCATACGGAAGTTGTTGGAAGCAGAGGACTGCCCTGGATTTTCCAGTCGCTTTTTCCAACATCTTAAAGTGTTTAGAATGGAGGCCAGCTGCGGTACACAAGTTGAGCTAGACCTTGTGCGGTTCATCCTCGCCACTGCCCCTCTACTTCAGCGGATTCACATTACGCCTGCATGTCATTTGAGCTTTGAAACTCGATTGAAATTCACGGTGGAGGCAATGAGATATAAGCGCGTCTCGAAAGAAGCACAGCTTATATATGACATGGATTTTGATCAGTGACGCTTTCAGCTTTGGAGCAACTTCTGCCCTTCAGAATTCATATGGTTGTGTTCTTTTTCTTATTCACCTGCATGAATGCAGTGTTGGTCGTCAAATTTGAGGATGTGTATGTTCTAGCTGCATATTGTGATACCTACTTTCTTGATCAGCAAGAAATGTCAAATCCAACTAACTAGTTATCTGATTACATCCGAAAATAGAGATCGCAGCAGATAGAAAGAAAGGAAATCAAGAGTAGTTAGTAATTAGGCGAGAAGTGCCTTGTTTTAGCAGCTTTTTTAATTGGCAATAACGTTAGAATCCGCTCCATCACACTGCCAGGAAGGTTGCTAGTTCTATCACCAGTACCAAACTCGCATTAGAAAGTGCAAACAAAAGATAGCCAATGACAGATTAAGTTTCATGAAACAGAAAGAGTATCCCAGCTCAGTAAACAGCAAACAACGTAATAAAACTTAATATAAAAAGAAGTAACAATGTCAAGACTAAGTCCACGCTACTGCTACACATGGAAGACATGGCATTAGGAGGCCCTCATGCTGCTGGATGATATGTAGAGAAAAAGACCATTAATGTGATGTGTAAAGCTGCAGATGTGTCAATCCTCCTCGTCGTTCCATACATATATGATCTCTGCCTCTTTAGATATACGCTTATATTGCATCACCTCCTTCATAAATTTGGTAACCTTTTTAGAGCTCAGTAGATGATAAGGCTGAATTTGAATCCTCAAAAGCAGCGGGGCTGTGGCAAGTATGAGCCTCACCAGCTCCATCTCAACCTGCGTCCCCAGACTATCATTGATTTTGAACACCTTAAGATGCTGCAACGAAAAATCAGAACCATGGCTATCCTCTGCGCTCAACAAGCTTCTTATGCTTGTGACTGCATCATTGTTTCTAGGCTCATTTAGTACGATGGTATCCAGCTACAAGAGTATTTGTCAAGTAATCAAGTCATGGCAGACAAAAGAATATATATCAACTCATAAATTTGCAACACCAGAGGGACCAACCTGGATCATAAGGGTGTGCAAGTTGGGGGAGCTCATGATGATACAAGCAAGAACACGCTGCATCTCCAAACTAGCCAAGAGAAGACCAGACACACGGAGGAGTTGCAATCGATAAAGAGGCTTAGGAAACCTGCTAGGGATATGACCTCCATTAGCAAGTACCTGAGAAAAGACCATATGCATAACATACCGTTTCATTAAGTTGCTTAATAAGCAAATGAATCTGCAGGTTGTTTTGGCAACAACAGAAAAATGTCTTTCGAAAACTTACTCGCAGGAAAGCTGGTAGTATGTGCAAATGCCGGAGTGCTGGCAGCGAAGCAAATAAATCTACCACATTAGGCTTTTGGAAGACGTCTACATAAAGACTAAGAACTGACAGAAGTGGAGTACGCTTGAAGAACAGTTTCTGCAAAAGAACCCTTGCAAAGAAGAACACAACGAGTCTTGGAGCATCTAGTTCAAGATTTGTAGGACCTTCACAGAGGAACAGTCTCAAATCTCGAAGCAATGGGCACTTTGGAAGGAAACTCCCAAAGAAATCAGATGGCAAGTTTACTCTAAATAGTTCAAGTTCTGTAAGCTTACCAAACCCCACAAACCAAGGTGGTACCATAAACAAACAACCTTCCAGTTTCAAACAATTCAGCCGAGTAGTAAACAACGATGAAGGAAGCTTGTAAATATGACCGACTCCACTAGAAAGCACAAGGGTAAATTCTTGGACACCTCTGCCAGAAAGATGAAAAATGATGTGATCAAGCTCATCGCAGGGGGTTAATCCAGGAACGGCAAGCACAAACTTCGAGATTGGCCCATCATGAACCAGTAGAGATTTGTAAATCTTCAGAATTAACTTGTCCATCATACTCGGTTCAGTGATACGAGCAAAACCATCATCGAACACAAGTCGAGGAATACTTCTCCAATGACGCCTCCATATTGTTGACATGAAAGCTGTTCTTGCTGCATCTTTTATTGGTAGCAGCATTAGAATGTGATGTATCACATTTTCAGGAAGCTGGCTAATTCTATCATCACCAGACTCTCCAATCCCCATCATCCTCTCGCTATGCTCTGCATAAAAATCAATTGAAAGATGGAACATGCAGCAGTGATCAGTTATATGAATGTGAATACTGGTTGGAATGGCTTGTTTCCCTTCTTGATTTCAGTTACCTGTAAGTGACAATAAGGACATAAACCCTTTTCGTGGCTTTCCAGTTACAGTAATGGGAATGATCAGAGGCCCATCCATATATACAGAGGAAGAAGAAGACGTGGGAATTGGTGGCTTATGCAAGATCTTTGGGGACTGGAAAAGACTCTTAGAGCATTAAACACACTTTAATTCTGCACAATACATATCAATTGAACGTTGCCTTCTGGCATTCCCAAGCAAGCATGATAGAAGGAATTTGGACTGCCCATATGAATACGGGTGGGAGCTTTTGGGATTCGACCATGCATGGATCAGATGCTTTGAACTGCACTGCGTGATTCCAAATTATTGGCGAGTCATTTATGATTTCTATGACTGCCCTCCTGGCAATGAAGATCGAATACGTCGAATTGATTGACGACTGCTTGCTAGATCTATAAGCTCCAGTCTCCACTAGATTGTTCCCAATCAAAGTACTACCCTTTAGTTTATTTCCCTTATCAATTAGATAATTGACTTGCAGACAGAGACAGTGTTCTGGATCAGGCAAAGGATCTTGCATAAACTTCTAAGTTCCAGCATGTTAGAAATTCTCGTTCAGTACCAGCAGGAGTCTCAAATGCCCTTCACTCACAATCACAAAATGGAACAATAAAAAAGGGGTAATCTCATCCGAGTAACCTTTCAAATTGGTATGGTACAATGCGTGACAACTCTGTAACATTATCTCCGCTCGATTTTTTTAAAACGCAAGATAGTTTCATGCATCAGAAGCACACTTGATGTTTCCGAGACTAGATCATTGATCGAATTTGGTTTAGTTCATCAATCAAGACACGAAAGGCGCATCTAGTATGCTGATTTTTCCTGACTTAGTTGTGCAGAGGATATTCTGAGATCAAGCATACATAAGCTGCAATAACAAACAAAATGTTCAGGCAAAACAACAAACTAAAACCCAAATTTCAACTAATCAGGAGTGAACATCGACACATCACTTACACAAGAAACGTAGACCGAATCCCTGAAAAGAATTGATGGAATGACAAACGACTAGAGTAGCAAAGTGCAGAATACACCATTCCTGGACATATACCACATCCTCTTCTTTGGAACCACGCTCACATTGTGTCACCACCTTTCTGAATTTTCGGGATTCGATTTCAGCTTGATCAAAATTTCACGAAGTATGCGGGGCAGTGGTCAGAACAAACATCGCCATCTCCAGCTCGAATATCCATCTGAATACGCCTTGGAATTTTCGGGGCTCGACCATTCGTGCATCAGATACTTTGAGCTTCACTCCAAGAGACTGGTTCCAAATAATCTCACTAAAAACCTACTAGTACTAGGGGTGTTGATAACAAAGCTAGTGACACTCAATCCCAAGAAAAAGCTTCCACCATTTCAATGCATAGTAACTTGTTCTAAACAACAAGAAAATTCTACCATTCTACTTAGTAAATCGTCATGCTGCAGGTTTGATGGATTCCACAAACCCACTGCTGAGCAGCCGCTCAACGTACTTCCCCAGAATATCCACCTCCAAGTTCACCTTCTGCCCAACATTCTTGAAAGGGATCACAACCTTCTGCTGCGTATAAGCCACGAGCATGAAATTGAAGCAGCTCTCCTCATCAAACACATCAACCACCGTCAGGCTCGTCCCGTCCACCGCGATAAACCCTTTCGGAACAACATACTTCAACAGCCCTCTATCCACCTTCACCTTCACCCACAGCGAATCCCCTTCTGGATCCTTGCCAACTATCTCCCCCGTCCCGTCCACGTGTCCCTGGACGAAATGCCCGCCCATCCGGCTCGTGGGCTGAACCGCCCGCTCCAAGTTCACCGCCGAACCGGCCTCGAGCTCTATCAGGGAAGTCTTCCTCAGAGTTTCAGGGGATAAGCCCACGGTGAAGTCTTCGTCGGTGAACTCGGTCACCGTCAGGCAGGTGCCGTTGACGGCGATGCTGTCGCCGAGATGGACGCCCTTGAGGACGGTGCTGGCTCGGATCTTGAGGTCGAATCCGCCGTCAGGGGTGTTACCCAGGTGCTTGACTTGCCCCATTTCTTCGACGATGCCAGTGAAGAGCGATCGGGTGGTAGAGGAGGAAAATCGGGTTTGGGGCTGGGATTTAGGGGTTTTGGTAAAGAAGAGTGAACGTGAACTGGGATTTGAAATTGAGGTGGAGAATTTGAGATTGGACTTTTGTGGGAGTAGATTCAGCACTGTGATTGCAGTTGGTGACGACGGGCGACTTCTCATGGGACAACAACAGATCCTGCTGGGAGTTTTGGCCAGAGATGAGAAAGAATAACAGACCGCCATTTCTGTCTTCTTCTGGGTATTGATGTTTGAGATTAGTGAACAACAGCCGACTGCAACGATAAAAAAAAATGAGAGGCTAAGCCTAGTTTGTGGCTGTGGGATCGATTAAGGAAGATTGGAAAATGATGGGAGAAGAAGAAGAGAAGATTCTGCAAAAGGATTCGTCAGGGAAGGTGGGGGATGTTTGTTTTGGGCCGAGGAGCTTTTCCGAGGAGCTTCGTCTCTCGACCTGCTAACAGCGTTGCCCAGCCCATTTATTATTGGGACGGAAGTAATTAATCTCATGGATAGACAGGCCCCAATCTTGTGTTTCTGACTTTAGCAAAATGTAAATTACTGATTTGGTCACTCAATTTATCAAGTTTTTTCATGTTTGCCACCCATAAAATTTTTCTTTTTTATTGGTTCCTAACTTTACATCTCGTTTCATCAATGATCACTCGCCGTCCAACTCGATTAAGTTCATTTAGATGACAATAACCTACTATATTTGACCATTAAGATGCTGACATGACAATTAAAAATAATTAAACATTTTAAACAAAAATTTTGGACACAATTTTTTGAGGGGCTTGCTATTTGCCGCCAACCAAATTGCTATTTGCCGCCAACCAAAAAAAAAAGAAAAGTATATATGTACATCTTTGGTTAAGGAGTTTCACAATCTACAACGTATCCAACTTTCAAAGAACGTATTGAATCAGAAAAAATCGACGCTAGCCGGAAAAGTCGCCGGAAAATCATCGGGAAAGCCCATCCTCGACGTAAACTGCAGACACGCATCCATGAATCATCACTAAGAAGGTGCGTCAATTTTTTGTAGTTTCGAACAATTTTTTCGACGATTTGCAACGAACAGACGGTGGGCCGAAAATTTCCGGCGCCCGGAACCTGGCCGGGCCGAAATTTTCCGGCGGGCGGAACCAGACAGGGTCGTAGGAAATCGGTGGCCGGAGCCAGGCTGATCCACAAAATGTTTTCGGCTCAGGCTGGCTCCGGCCATCGATTTCCGTCGGACCTGCCTGGTTCCGATCGTCGGAAATTTTCGGCCCACCGTCTGTGTTTGGAATTTTTTGGAAAAATTCGATTTTAGGAGTTGAATTTAGAGTTTAGGAGTTGAATTTAGCGTTTAAGAGTTGAATTTAGCATGTAAGAATTGAATTTAGAGTTTAGGAGTTGAATTTAGCGGTTAAGACTTGAAATTGGCGTTTAGGTTCACAGGAATATTGATGTGTTATATTGTAATTGTAGGAAAAATGTCAGAGTGGTTACCGACCGATCATGATTACACACAGGAATTTGAGAATGGGATCCATTATGCAAGTGTGAAGTTAGCTGAGTTAGCTGCAAAAGCAATCACTCAGGATTGTGGGTTCTTTATTGTTAGAGGAGCATGGAAATCGAATACTGCTGGACTACATCATGTTACTGCCCTCTGTATGTATTGCGACAGAAGTAGTAGGATCGTTAAGTCTTATAAACCAGACCCTACGAAGGAGACACGTGGGAATATTAGTTCGAAGGGTACTGGTTGCCAGTTTCAGATATGTATTAAGGAAGTATGGCAAGAGAATGGTCCAAACACATGGGTCATAGTGGGAGTGACAAGTTGTGTAACCGGAGCTAATAGAGGGTTTCACAACCATGAAAAGGTGTTGTATCCAGAACATCACCGACGCAACAAACAGTTTAGCGAGGCTGAAAAAGAGAGGTTAAGATTAATGAGGAAGGCGGGGTGAGACCAAATCAGCAGAAGACGACACTCAATACTGAAGGGGGTGTGCATCATGATATCAAACAGATGTACAACAGAAATTACAAGACAAGATTGGATGAGATGGATGAAATGGATGCGATACAGTTTGCGCTTCACGGAGCTGAACAGCGTGGGTACCATATCTGTTTGCAAACGGACTCTAATAATGTGCTCACTAATCTGTTTTTTGCGCACCCGACGTCCATTCAGATGTTGCATGCATGACTGTACGTCATCCTCATTGACTCGACCTACAATACCAACAGGTACGGCTGGCCATCGGTTGAGATTATTGGGGTTACTCCAGTCAAGAAGAATTTCAACATTGCATGTGCAATTATTAAGCAGGAAACAAAGGAAACATATGAGTGGCTGTTGCGATGTATTAAAGGGTTTCTCGATGATACGGTTCCGAATGTCATTGTGACAGACAAAGAAGGTGGTCTGCTTGCTTCTGTTCCTGTGGTCTTCCCTCTCCCACATACTGTCCACCTACTATGTTTATGGCACGTCAACAACTGTGTGAAACAAAAGTTTGAGCAATTACTGGGTGGAATTGCAAACAGAGAGGTAGCACAAGCGGTATGGAAGAAATATTTCGACAAAGCTGCATGGAGTTGGACTCAGGAGGGTTTTCTTCAAAAGATTAATGAGTTTGAGAGGGTCTAGACATAGAAGAACATAAAAATGGTCGACTACGTGCGAGGTGAGTGGTTGCCTCATCAAACAATGTGGGCAAAGTGCTACACGAACCATGTGTTTCATCTTGGTAACACGAGCTCGAATAGAGTTGAGTCATCTCACTCTTCATTCAAGACTTTCCTTGTGTCTGGTAGAGGAGCGATTGACACTTGTTTTGCGAAGAACCACAACTACATGGAACATCAGTTTTTGGAAGTGGTGAATGAACTGCACAAGTCACTGAATCGCAATATGAGTACGGCAATTGAGCCTCTCTGCACGTTTTTTAGGAGGGTCGTTAGTTGTGAGGCAATCAAACTGATGTTAGATGGGGCGGCGGAGTTGAAGAACAGTTGTGCATGTCATTTTCAGATGACACATGGGCTCAAGTGTGCTTTCCAGGTTGTTCAAGCTAAGGAAGAAGGACGTCAATTCTATGCTCAAGAGTTGCATGTATTTTGGCGGACTTTGGATTATAAAAACCCCCCACGTCAATAACAAGTCAGTGATGAAATTGAGCTTCAATGAGAACACTTTAGGCGTCTTACTATTGAGGTGGAAGAAAGAGGTCCTTAAGCTGTGAGACAAGCAAGAGATGCTCTATCTATGGGCTTCACCCAGCAGACGACAATGTGAGGGAACCGGAAGTGAATGAGAATCCGAGAGGACGACCTCGAACAAGCACCAGTCGCATTCGTTCATATTGTGAGCGGTCTCGTTCGAGGAGTACCGGGCCTGGTTCCAGTGGAGGCAGGGGGTGATCGAGTGGAGGCAGATCCCGATCGAGTGGAGGTGAATCCGACGAGCATGATACAGGTGAGTAATTGGTTTAATATTATAGTCCATCTAGTAGTAATTGGTTTATGTTTGTAAATTTTGTCCAAGTAAGTTTGACCGTTTGGTATGTTTTTTTAGATTACTCATCCCAGAGCCCCCCCAGGGCAATATTCTTACCCTTACATCGATGAGCTTTTTCCAAAGTTTGTTTGACCTTTGCTGGTAGGCGATTTCAACCCTAGTCTAGACGACCATTGTGGTTTTAAGGCATTTTCTCATTGTATTTATGGGGATGATAGTCACTATCTGCTCATGAGATCGACGATTGTCCAAGAAATCCAACAACATTTTTGGAAGTACGAGAACTTGTATAATGGTGGTCCACTAGCTCACATTGACTGCATCAATTGGCTAGAGGCGGGTTCCGCACCACCGGGGCGATGGATGGATTATGAGGACTTGTTCGTGTTTGCCACCATCTACAACATCGCAGTCATGGTCTTCTCATACCAGGTGTATGATGTCAATAATGAAAACCGTCCACTACCCAACCCCTAAGATGATGCCTATACTGTATTGCCCATTGATGCGGACCCAGGTACTTTGCCACCAACCATGTTCTTATCACTGCACTATGTGAACAACCACTACATTCGATTGTACTTCAACAAGGATCGGTTTCCCATACCCCCTCTGCATCCAATTTGGCATGGGCTAGCAAATCCTAATGTGGCGGAGTGGGGAGCTATTCTCGAGGTTGGAAAAAATTTGTTTGCGAGTCTTGGTGGTCGGCAGGAAGCCAGGCAGAGAGACCCGCAAAGAGCTAGGGGAAGGGGTAGGAGCAATGCATAGTGTTGCAATGCTCTATTTATATGTTGTTGTTTTTCTAGTTGTATTTTAAATAGCCCTAGTGTCATTATGAACTTATGGATTTCATTATGGATTTCATTATCATCATGAACTTATGGATTTCATTATCTACCCTCGATGTTTTAATCGTGAGTGTGCAAACATCCAATCCAGACATAAGTAGTCAAACATCCGATCTAAACATAAACATGGAAACATGCAGTCTAAACATAAACATCTGATCCAAACATACATAAGTAGTCAAACATCCGATCTAAACATAAATATGCAAACATGCAGTCTAAACATAAACATCCGATCTAAACACAAATAGTACAAATCATAAATGATCCAAACATCAAAACAACTAAAAATACCCTGGAGGGGGGAGTCCCTGAGAGACCCAATACTCAGTCCACACATCCTGCACTCCATGCAGTACCCTGTAGGCTCGTCGAGAATGCTCAAGAAACTCCTCCTCGATCCCTGCTGCTGCTCGAACCGCAGGTGCAAACGTGTACAAAAGGTCGCGAGCACGGTGCATAAAAAAAAACAAGAACAATTGTTAGTTTCACGCTAAGTATATTTATAATAAAGTAACGATCTAGTGGTCAAATCTTACCGTTGCGAAGTCAACTAGTCGATCTGCATCTCCATCATCCCGTAGGACTCTACAATGAGAGTGCGCCACTAACCAGTCAAGATAGTCGATCGTATTCTCATATGGATACGTCGTCCACGACTGAGAGTACATGTCTATATGAACTGTGGGATAGCAGAGCATCCCATGCAGCATCAAAACTCTCAGGAATCCGAATGACATATCCACCAGGTGCCTCTGGTCGGTCTGCTCGCTGAGGACGCGAAGGGGGAGGCGGTACCATCTGTCGGTATCCAAACTGTCGGAGGCAAGGGGCTGGATCATAGAACTCGCCTATATAAGCGAACCGGATGACTCCAATGTACAAAGAGCGACGCACTGTCTGATGAGGCCTCTGATGGAAAGGTATCCAAAACACATTAGAAGGGGTCAAGCTGTCATGAGCTCGACGGTAGAACGCCAACCTCACACTGGGATCAGCAACATAACCAGGTGCCGGCTGCCCAATCCATCGTGAAGCCCAAGCCTCATCAGGTCCAACGACGGGTGGCTCGAAGTGAGATGGCCTGAAACCTGGAAAGTACTCGTAGATCCAACACTGCATAAGTGTGAGACAACCAGCTACCCCCTGGCACCAGCACGAGACGCATGACCAAGGTATCTGTACAACCAAGCAAGTGTACCTGACGCCCAACTGTACTGATCTACCTCCTCCAACTCGTCCAAAAATAGGTTCACCACCGGCCGAACCCTGTCTCTACTATTGTCCACAAACAAAGTGGACCCCAACAGCAACAACAAGTACGAATGCACCTCACATGTGTCCCGTTCACCTGCAAGTATCTGGACGCCATCTCCGCAAGAAAACCACCCTTCTCGTACCACTTACCCCTATTACCATATCCAGGGGCCTCCGAACGACCACTCAACTGCTCCGAGTTCATCCCAAGAAGCACACACAAACCCACCTCCGGATGGTCAAGCTGCGCAGAAGTCTTACTCATCAGTCGTCCCTCAACAGGAATCTGCAGTAAGTACTGAACATCGTGGAGGAGGATCGTCATCTCTCCAAAAGGCAAGTGGAAGGTGTTCGTGTCTGGCTGCCACCTCTCCACAAAAGCTGAGATCAAAGCCTCGTCAATCTCTATCTTGCGGAACATAGAGTAGATCAGGTGCTGGATACCTGACTGCTGAACCAGATCCTCCGCCTCAACATGACTAAACACGTAGCTACCCAGATAATCAACCGCCGATGTACGGCTATAGCAACTGATGACCCCTCGATCTCCAACCCCCGTCCAAAGCGCATAGGAAGCGTGGCCACGGAACCTCCTAATGAGGCTAGGATCCGTAGGTCCACCAGGACACTCACCAACAAGCTCCCACGGTGGAGGACCACTCGAACGTCCTCCCCTACTCCATCCAGTCCCCGAGCTCTCTGTCTCCTCACGAGCAGGTAGTACGAACCGCCCAGCTCTGTCCCTGTACATAGCAGGACGTGATGTTGCCGTACAAGACGACACTCGTCCATGTCCACGCGTAGGTGGAGGGACCTCGATATCCTCATCAGTATCGTCCTCATCAAACTCAGCCGAGACCACTCTCGGTGCAGCACCCTGGTTCCTCCCATGGGAATCAGACGCCCGTGATGCCGAACGAGCAACTACAGTAGGAGCCTCTAATTCATCCTCCCCTAAATTTGCCTCTGACTGATGTCCAATATCTCGAGAGCGCTTCTTCTCCTTATTCTTCTTAGGCACCTTCCTTCGTGTTGATGCATCAACAATCCTACCATTGAATCTATGCAACTCACTCCCACTTGCATCATCCATATCTAATTATCTACAAATTTACACAATATCATACTTAGATGTGCACTAATTAATTAAATTTCTATTAACTAATTTACTATTAACATTAATTGTTAATTAATCACAAATTAATTAAGGGTTATAGGTATAATATGCCCCTCTACTATAACGTTTTATCAAACATGCCCCTCTACTATTTTTTACATCAAACATGCCCCCTGTACTTTGACAAAATTATCAAACATGCCCTTCTGCTAAAATTTCCGTGGAAAAAATCGTCTATCATGGTTGAACTGAGATTTAGACGACCCGACATCGGCAAATGTGAGAGAAAATATCAGTTTTTTTCCCGTTTTATTTCTTTGGGTCTCTTCAAAGTGAAATTATTTGAATTATTTGGCTATACAAAAGAACAAAAAAATTCTAAAGTGAAATTATTAGGGATATTTTAGACATTTGAGTCTCCCAAACCAAAGGTTGGCATTGGTTGACGGTTTTTAGATGAAAATTTTAACAAAAGTGCATGTTTGATAATTTTTACAAAGTACAGAGGCATGTTTGATGTAAAAAATAGTAAAGAGGCATGTTTGATAAAACATCAAAGTATAGGGGCATATTATACCTATAACCCATTAATTAATTTCTATGAACTAATGTACGGAATATTAACATTAATTGTTAAATCAATTATTAATTAATTAACTTTCTATTAACTAATGTACTGAATATTAACATTAATTGTTAAATCAATTATTAATTAATTAATTTTTTATTAACTAATCTAAGTAAGTAAACATTCATACACCTATTACAAAAAAAACATTCATACACCAACTTAAATAAATATTAACACTAATTGCTAATTTCTATTAACTAATTAAGTAATTTTTTATTGATTAATTAACATATTAAATTAAATGAAAAAATCGGTCTGGCCGAAAAAAACCTGCGGCAGGTGCGTCGCCGGGCCGAAAAATATTTTTGGCGGATGCGCCGGCGGGCCAAATTTTTTTTTGGCCGGTGCGCTGCCTAGCCGAAAAAAATTTGCGGCCGGTGCGACGCCCAGCCAAAAATCTCTTTCGGCGACCGGCGCGCTGCAACCGGAAAAATTTTGACCGGCGTGTTCGGCGACCGGCCGGAAAATTATTGCTGCCAAGGCGCCACCGGGACGAAAATTTTTTCGTCTGGGCGTCACACCGGCCGCAATTTTTTTCGGCTCGGCGACGTTCCGGCCATATTTTTGTTTCGGCTCGCCGTGTTTTTCGCCGGAAAACTGGAAAACTTGTCGGAAAATGTAAACTTACTTGTTTTGCGATGATTGAGGGCAACGGGAGGTTGGCCGGCGACGGAGGAACGGTGCCGGCGATGGAGGAACGATGCCGGCGACGGAGGCACTGGGCTCGTCAACAGAAGTTTTTGTTGGAATGAGTCAAATGTTAATGGTTTCCGAATTTATAGAATGCTTGGAAGGAAAAATTCAAATTTGAATTCAATTTTTTTTTAGTTGGCGGCAAATAGCCATTTGGTTGGCTGCAAATAGTCGTTCACTTTTTTGAATGATGTGGTAGCTACGTCAACAAATTATTCAGAGTCACCAACTATGGACCAAAGTTATCACTGTCATGAAAGTTGGGATCTCTTTTGTGATTATTAAAAGTTGAGGTTAAAGTTTTTTTATTTTACCTCAGGTGCTCCCCAGGTTTAGTAAATCACGCTGTCACAAAGTGACATGTGGGGTTGAGGTTCCTGGGTTATAAAAAAAAAGTTGAGGCCAGGTTAAAGTTGTTCGACTTGATGGTATATGGCTTGCAGATTGTGTGTTGGTATAACGATTTCTTGATGTTAGGATTAGCATCAAACTCAGGAAGCTCCACAATTAACAAAATTTTTAAAAAATAATATTTGAGAGATAAGATGAGCATGGTTGAGTGTACTGAGCGAAATTTATCAAAGATTAGCTCAGTATGCTCACAGTTGTGGATGGTATGTTAAACTTGAGAACTTTTACTATGCTATATAGTATTGGTGCTTTAATGTACAATTTGAAGTTGTACCATAACATTAAATGTACAAGTTTAGGTGGTACCATAAAGGAATTTGTATCATTATGTTATGGTACAACTTTACCACTTGAATCACATAAGGTACAAGTTTAAGTTGTACCATAAAAGAATTTGTACAAAAAGTATATGTACAATCTGAAGTTGTACCATAACATTAAATGTACAATTTCAAGTTATACCATAAAGGTAAAAACCTATAGAATCAATGATATATAGCATTGTAAAATTCCTCTGTTAAATTTGGATAAACTTCATCGGAGAGAAAAAAAAAAGATTTGGCCAAACAAAGTTTAAATCAACATTTCTGTAATTACGTATTAATGAAATTATTTTAAAATTTACAGTACTTTAGTAAATCTTCCCGGATTCGAAAGGATCTTCAACAAAATATAGCATTACCGACTTAGAGTTGGATTAGAAGTTCAGAAGTCCGGAAAACTACCAAATTCAAATTGGACTTGGGAGTCATTTTTCCTCATTAATTCCCCGACTATTCCTCTTCCTCTTCGAAATTTGAAACTCAAAACGTCAAAACCGCCTTTACCTTCGCCACGTTCCTCTTCTTTATAAAGCCAAGGAACCACTTCCGATTCCCACCACTTAAACTCAACAAATGGTTTCTCCTCCGCCGGAAAGACAACGCACCGTCTTAACTCCCGACGCCGTCCCCTCCCGCTTGCTCTCATGGTGCCTAGTAAGTCTAGTTCTCATCGGAAGAAATCCTAAAATATCAAAAGTTACAGATTTTCCAACAATATATTGCTCATGATTCTTTCAATACAGTCCAATCCGCAGACGGTATCGCCTTCTTCTTCCTCCTCCTCTTCACTCTCTCCGTCGCCAACCTTGTTACCGACTCCAAGCGCCGCCACCAGCAGCCACCGCCGTTATCCCCCGCCCAAGCCCGGAGCGCCACGCGCCATTCGAGACTTCCCCAAAAACTGCGGCGGACCCGCCAACCTAAAACCAGTCGAACCGAACCGGTCAACCATCAAGGTAAATCAAGATGCCCTTGATTCACAGAACAGTAAATCTATTTCCCTGAGGGGAAAAGAAAAAGAATTTCCTCCCAAATACCCTCCACGTCGGGTACTGCAAGGGGTTTCCGTGAAAAGACGATTCCCTCCTCACTGCGGCCGGAACCAGTCACAACCACCACCACAACAAAACCACAATCCCTTGGCTTTAGTTCCCTTGCCGGCGACGTCCGAGGACGTCGTCAACAAGAAACGACGCCGCTCCCCTGTTTCCGACCGCTCGTCACCCAGGAACTGTCTCGTCGAGGCAGGGGAGATCGAAATTCGCAGGGAAATCAAGGACGTCCTCCAACTGTTCGACGAATTGACAGCCTATTTTCGAGAGACATTCTCCGCCGCGGGGAAAGGGAAGAACACGAAGAGCGCGTTCATGGCGGCGGCGAACCACCTGAAATCAATGGGGAGGTGGGTCAACACGAGTCGACGCTTGGGCAAGGTTCCCGGGGTGGAGATCAACGACGAATTCAAGTCGAGGGCGGAGCTGGTGGTGGTGGGACTTCACCACGCGTTCATCAACGGGATCGACACAATGTACGACGAGGATGGGAACCTGTTGGCCACCAGCATTGTTGCCACAGGGGACAGGGACTACGGGAATTACATGGAATCGGAGGATTATTTGGTCTACTCCGGGCAAGGGGGGAACCCGAAGGTGTCGAACGGGGCGGTTTTCGAGGACCAGAAGCTGCAGGGGGGCAACTATGCGCTGTGGAATAGCATGGAGGAGAAGAAGCAAGTGAGAGTGATAAGGAAGAAGGTTGTGCTTGGTGAGGTGAGGTATGTGTATGATGGTTTGTATTTGGTGCACAAATGTGAAGAAGTGAAGAGTGTTCATGGCAATATTGTGTTCCAATTTCACTTGATGAGGGATGAGGACGACGTACCACGCAAACTAATGCACGAAGCTGCTTTTCTCCCTCTTACATTCCCTTCGTTTGAAAGTCCCGAAATGGCGGGAACGTCAAATGATGGTGAATGTGAGATTGTGAACATGAAATAATGATATCTTATTTCTGAATATGTTCAAGTCGAGATATTGGAGTGTCAAAGATCACTGGTGTTCATCAGTTCACGTACTGCACACGTGAATTTCAATGAACCCTGATTATGAACTAGACCAAACACTTGTTCCTATAGATAGATCGACTATAGACAGTCGAGTTGCAAAGGAAAACATATTTTGAACACCAGAACCTAAAGGAGTTGAAGCCTTTTCTTTTAATTAAAGGAAAAGGTAGGACAAGAGGAGGAGGAGCAATAGTTATGAGTTTGGAGTTGATTTTTCTTCAATGATCAAGGGCTTCATGATACTCTTTTCTGCACAAGTTCTTTGTGTTCCTAACCCCATTCATGGGGTAACACTTTAGGTATTTGAGGTAAGAATCTCTAATCTAGTTTAGGGTTTGAATATGTAATGGATGATTTTATTATAATAATAATACTATATCATCTCTATTTTATGGTAGTATTGCTTTATCAATATCTTAATCGCATTAGGATAATTAACTATTCACCTAAGTAGGGGACCATACAATTAGATAAAATAGAGCTAACTTTCAATAACGCAATTTAGGTAATTGCAACACCTGGATTTCTAATGTGCAATTATTGGTTCATCCCAACTGACATTGATTGAGCATATCCCTAACTATGGTGGTTAATTACATGATCATTGAGTTGGTTATCATGTATAAGAGGGTGACTATTGGCCCAATTGTCACTTTAAGCATTCATGCACATTGAGTAATTATACCCAAACCCATGGGTAATTAAATATGGTTTGGGTAATTATACCTAGGGCTGGCATTTCGGTTAGTTCGTTTATAACTGATAACCGAAATGTCGGTTACCGGTTAACCGAGACAGGAGATGTGAATACCGCCAACCGCCCGAAGAAAAGTTTCGGTTAGCCGGCAATCGACCGTCGGTTACCGGTTAGTTGCTCGATTAACCGAAGTAAGTGCGGCATGCAGCAAAAACCGGTTGTAATAGACTAACCGAACCGGTAACCGAATCGGACATACTCCCTGTGTAGACAAGAACGATACAAATTGTCTAAAATTAAACGTTCAGCCATACATTTCTACATCTAAATCACTCCACAAGTCAAGTTTCAATCATTTTTGCATACAAAATAGATTTAAATCACCAAATTAATGTCTCAAATACTAGAACATAAAGTCATAAACTTCATAAAGTCACAATTTACAAGTCACAACCAATTCATCACTTATCAACCGAAGAAGAATCAACATCTACATAACCCTTTTCTTCAGTTGCGGCAAGAGGTGATGACCAACATCGTCATATCCATCTTTCTCATACTCTTCTTCCGACACATTTTCTTCACCCTCCTGCTCATTCCCATCTGGAATGTTCTGACTTGCAACTGCATTGGCAAAATTGCCAACATCACTTCTTACACTTTCCATTCTAGACTGGAAAGTGGTATTAACTAAGTAAGAAAAAGGAAAACAAATTGTTAGAATATTCATACATTGAATTAGGTAGAAAGAAATAGTATTTGTTTACTTCAACAAACAATAACTAAAAGAGTTTTAGAACTTACCGCTTTCCAAATCCATGATCTCTTCATCTTCTTCCCCTATCGTCATTATCTCCGGCCCCTGCATCTTGATAGTTTATTCAATCCTCCGCACAAATCAATACCTCCAACATGATATCACTCAAAGAAGACCTGAATGGACTGAGAATCCGACCGCCACAGCTGAAGGTTGCCTCTGAGGCAACATAAGAGATGAGAACAGATAGGATATCCTTAGCCATCTCAGCAAGAATCGGATATGTTCCAGAGTGTCGAGACCACCTACTCAAGATGTCAAACTTTGCATCATCACTCTCCTCATTGATGCCATCAGTTTGACATCTTAAATAGATGTCAAGCTCAGCAGAGCTACCTCCTGTATCCTACAGAAGTGCTTCCCTTTTCCTGTTCCTAATCATCTCCTCTAGCTGCTTAATCCTATCACCACCAGCCGTTCTCTCACCAGTGGTAGGCTGAGATGTAGAGGAGGGTGCTTTTGATCCATACTTCCCTTTGTAAACCTCAAACAGCTGTCGCATTTCCTTCCTAATGCAGTCAACCATTTCTCCTCCATTCACATTCCCATACATCATTGCCAAAACCTCGGACACCAATCAAGTTTACTTCTTGGATCAAGCACACATGCTATATAAATTAAGTGGTTCACCTTCATGTTCTTCTCGTTCACAACACATGATTCAAACCAATACTTTTGTACCTTTTCCTCAACCTTCTCAGTCATCTTCTGGATCTCTTCAGGCGGATCCTTCTTCAATTTCTCAATGATGTCATATACCGTAACAAGCTTCTTGAAGAAGATATGCATAGTCACATATTTATTCCTGTACAATGAGAAGGTACCACCAGAAGATTAGAATAACACAAATAGAAATGGGCAAATTGTTACAATTTTTAAATAAAACAATGCAGTTCAGGAATTTCACTTACTAGGGACTAGAAGGGTCAAGTCATTGAAGACTTTCATATAGTCTCTCTACTTCCTAATCATCTGCCAATCTTGATTAGTTGGAAGCCCAGCTCTTGAGTCCAGACAATCTCTAAGAGAATGATCGTGTGGACTTGAATACAAAGTTGTAAATACTGCCTCAAAACTTTCTGTTGACTCTAACATGGTATAAGTGGAGTTCCACCTGGTCGGTTCATCCAAAGACACCAGTTTGGTTGACTCCACATGCAGAAATTCCATGCCATTATTGAATCGTAACAACCTAGCCGGTGAAGACCTCACCCACTTCACACAATCCCGAAATCTGTCCACAGCACCACCAACAACTTTCAGTCCATCTTGTACCACCAGATTAATGATGTGTGCAACACATCAAAACTGTAGAAACCTCCCATCCATCAAATCACACCCTCACTCCTTTAGCTTCGTTATCATGCACTCACTGACAACATCATTTGAAGTTGCATTGTCCATGGTCATGCAGAGCAGATTCTTCACCTTTCACTCTTCATGAACTTCTGCAAGCTTCTCTGCAATATCAACTCCAGTATGACTTGTGATGGGAACAAAGGCTATCACCTTCTTCTGCAACTTCCAATCACCTCTAACAAAGTGAGCAGTAACTTCACATGTAATTCTTGTTGTTATCAGAAGTCCATGTATCCATAGTGATTGAAACTCTTCCTTGGCTCCTTGATTCAAAAAATTCAATTAAATCCATCTTTTTATCCAAAAAGATATTAAAGCAGTCATCTCTTATAGCTTTCCTCCCGGGTATCCTAAACAGTGGATGAACAGAAGACATGAATTGCTTAAACCCTTCCCTCTCTACAAAGCGAAATGACAATTCATCCATAATGATCATACTGGCTAATGCATATATAGCTTTTCCCTGATCAAACTTCCATAAACCACCTACTTGACCACCTTCTGATGTCTGCAATACTGTCTGATTTTTATTTGCTGCCAACTTAGCCAAACAGGAGTTCATGTGGTTATTCATTGCAGTGGTCCCATTTTTGTGAGGATGAGTTTTGATTAGAGTATGACAGTGTATGCACTCTCCCATCGGGTAGCTGTCAACTATCAACTTCTTAAACACCTTCCAACAAGAAGCTTTACCCACTGTCTTCAACCGTTTCTCGCAGTAAAAAATGTCTCATGTAGCTGTCTCTGAATCAGGAGTGCCCGTGTCAACAGAAGGAGTCTCGGTAGGAGTCTCGCCAGGTGTACCGGCAGGTGTACTTCCACTATCGACAGGGGCGGGAATCGATGGAGTTAATGAAGACGGTTCAGCTTCAGGTGGTTGAATAGGTCGACTTCCTGTACGCCCACCACGACCACGGGTCTGAACAGGAGCACTCGCACCACCATGACCACGAATCGCCAGAGGTTTCCCACCACGAGGAGCAGTAGCAGCAGTAGGGACACCTCGTCCGCCACGTCCACCACGAGGAGCCGGAGGTCTCACCCTACAAAAAAAATTACACAAAGTCACAAATTGAGAGCCAAAGAGCAGTGAAACAAAGAACTGACGAAGAAAAGAAGTCTTATCATTAGCAGAAAGAGTTTGAATTGAAATTACAATTTCTAGCTGCTGAATTGTAATTTATTCTTCTCTTATCGTTTGCTCTAATCCAACCAAAATGAGTAAGCTGACCTCACTAATTCCAAACCCTCTTAGATGCCCAAAGCTATGATCTATATAATTAGTAGTGGCCATTTTGGGAAGTAATTCCCTTCATAATCATTGTACGACCTTATTTATTTACAACCATCCACCATGTTTCCATTACTAGTTCCTGCAACTACATCTTCGATTTGGTCCTTCCATAGAGTATCACTGAAAACCAGCAGCATTAGTTACCATCTTCGATTTGGTTCCTGCAACTACTTCTTCCCCAACTCCCGCCAAACTCACCACATTCAAGCTCTCCCTCATCGACAACCATGTCCCGCCAATTTATGTACCTTTCATCTTCTTTTTTCCTCCTCCCGCATCCACGGGACCAAAACCAGGGGAGAGATTCGAGACCCAAATTATAACTTCCCAACTTCCACAATCCAATCTCAACTTCCCCACCCTCTCATTCTTCCCAATGACCAATTAACCACCACCAAATCATATACATTTACAAATTACAAACACTTACATAATTCTTCAATGGCGGGGTGCAGGCTGCGAGCAGAAGAGTGGCGCGGCGCCGGTGTGTTGGATGACGGCTGCTGGGCCGCGAGCAAAGGAGTGAAGCGGCGCCGGCGGAGCTCCCGACAGCAGAGGAGTGGCTGGCGACGGCGTAGAGCGGCGGCGGCGGCGCCCTTCAGGGTCGGGGAGGGAGAAGGGAGCGACAACGTCTCTGTCTTCTCTTCGCGATGCAAATTGGCAGAGAAGGAGAGTGAGTGAGGGTCGATTGCAGAGGAGGCCGCTTCGATTAGGGTTAGGGGTGAGGGTCGATTGCTGAGTGCGGCGTCGTTTTCAATTGCCGGTTGGCTGGTCGGTTAGCCGGTTAACCGGCACATTCAGACCTGCTACCGCCAACCCCCCGAAGCCCCATTTTTCGGTTAGTCGGTTAACCGGTAACCGGCCGTTATCGGTTTAACCGGTCGGTTAACCGGTAACCGCTAACCGAACGGCCAGCCCTAATTATACCCAAACCCAAGTAGACCCATTCATAATGGGTTGGGTAAGGTATGGATATTGTTTCCATAATCTAAATGAGTATGGGTTGGATATGAATATCCATTTACTTGAGGGTGTTTTAACTGCACATGCAAAAATTGGACTTATTTGTAAAACTTGAAAAGCTTAGGTACCAAAATGTAAGACCAAAAACATTTAGGTACCAAAATGCAATTTTCCATCAATATTTTGAGGACTTCTATGCAAAAAATTAATTTAGGTATTAAATATGCATATCTATTAAGTTGAGGTACCAAACTGTAATTTGCATTTGGGCATGTGTACAAAACCAAATCCATTTGTTATAAACCCAACCCAAGTAAATGAGTATGGGTACAAATATTAGAGTATGTGTAGTACGAGTAGTATTATGTTATACTACGAGTACTGTTATGTAATTGAGCAGTGTTATATTCCTAATCAGAGTCGTAGAAGTTAGGTGATTACCGTATTAGTGTTAAGGTTATTATAGAAGTCAGTCTCTGTACTCTATATAAACCCTTTGTGGTATCAGTAATAATACACAACAGTTTCCACCGTATTCTGATTTCCCAACATGGTATCAGAGCCTGGTTAAAAAAAAAACCCCTAGTCGAGAAAACCCCAAAACTCGTTTTCTTCTTCAGCCGCCCACCATGAGTGCACATTCGCCCGGAAACTGATCATTGTTCATGCTGTTGAATGTTGATCCAATCTCTTTTCCTTGTTATGTTCCTCCCTTCCATAAGTTCCGTGATTTGTTTGTCCAAGTTCGTCCTTGCTAATCAACTCTGTTGGTTGGCAAGAATAACAATTCTCAGTGGTCAATGGTCATCAAGTTTTGGTCGTCATCATGTCTTCGTCGTGTCTCCCGCTTCGCTTCGCTTCGTCAGGTCTACACGCCATGTTCCCATGCCCAGTTATCAGCTCCAGTCTATTGGGTACCGACCCAAAATTGATACCGCCTCGTGAATGAACGGTAATGGTTGAGTCAGAATTTCAATTATGTTTTCCAGCTACTGCAAGTATTGGGATTGTGTTTGGACTTGAGTCAAGCTGGCTTCGCATGATATGGTTATTTGGACGACAATCATTACCTTGTTATTATATGGTGAGATTAGCTATTGGAATTTATGGGTATCTCTTCATAACGTGGTACAATTTAGCTCTTTGCACTTCTTGATTGATGGGCTATGGTGGAGATTGCAAAAGGTTTTCCGTTGGAGTCGTTCAAGTCCGTCTCGGTTTGGCACAACCATAGGTTTCGTCCCTTTGGTTTCGGTTATAGAGGTGTTGTTCGGAACACATTAGTTTGAGAGATTGTTCGGAATATCTCAATTTGATAAATGCTGTTCGGAGCATTTTTGGTATTGTTTCCGTTTCGTGATGCTATTCGGAGCATCTTGGTCGCCATGTCGCTGTTCGGAGCGCGTGGTTTTGTTTCTGTTTCGATGATGCTATTTGAAGCATCTTGATCGCCATGATGCTGTTCGGAGCACATGGTTCTGTTAGTTCGACGGACTAGAAGACTTTTGGCAAGACCCTTTGTTATCTCCAGCTTATCACCATCGACGTTTCACGAGGCATTGGACATGATCTTCATCGACATCGACATATTTGGCGGAGCAGTTATGTTTTTCATTGTCTTTTTTTTTTGTCACATTGTTCGTAGTAATGTGTGTCGTTTTTGTTTCGGTTTTCAAATTGTTGGTAAGTAATTACCATCAATTTGGGGGAGGGTATTAGAGTATGTGTAGTATGTGTAGTACGAGTAGTATTATGTTATACTACGAGTACTGTTATGTAATTGAGCAGTGTTATATTCCTAATCAGAGTCGTAGAAGTTAGGTGATTACCGTATTAGTGTTAAGGTTATTATAGAAGTCAGTCTCTGTACTCTATATAAACCCTTTGTGGTATCAGTAATAATACACAACAGTTTCCACCGTATTCTGATTTCCCAACAACAAACTCATCAAACTCTACCCATATCCATCTATTTGGATTTGATAGTAAAAAACTCATAAGTGTGGGAAAAAATTGTCATCCCTACTTCCAAACTCATGAGTAGTTGCTAGAGCTTGGTCTTCACTAGATTCTTATTATGATATTTTTGTTCATGCATTATCAATGAACTAGGACATCCACAAACATATATTCAATATCCCCAAATTGTTCAATGGAACAGACAATAAAATTGAATTTCTCAATTAGAGTTCTGAAAATCTTTTCAACTACGTGAACATAAGCCAATTAGAGTTAGAATTAACCAGTCCCATTACCCTACTTATGTATTCAGTTATAGTTTCTGTCACTTTCATTTGTAGAAGCACAATTTTATTTTTCTTTCTAAAAGCCTGTAATTGAGCTTTCGAGACTAGTGCTTCCTTGATATTTCACTTTCATATCTCACAACTCTTTAGTAGTCTATTGCTTGGTAATGCCATAATGATTTTCAGGTATATTATCAATGGAGCTGAACAAGTAGTTTTGAGGCTTTCAAATCCTTGAGTTTCATATCATCTAGCTCTTTGGTTTCAACAGCTGACAGCTCCTCTCTTGCAACAGGTTATCGTGGTGAGAGGATCTCTCACTTCAATTAGTTATTATAACTATTTATTTATTTTAGTTTATTGTAAAAATGAGGTACAAGTTGTAAAAGATTAAATTTTGTTATTTTGTAACTGCCATGTCACTTATTTAAAGATCAATTATGAGAGTTGACCGTGATCTCTAACAAAGTTAAGCGAGTTCGACGGAGAGTGACCAAACTTGAACTGTTGAACTAATTTCAGTGACCACGAATAGAATTAAATATTTGTAGTGACCAAATCTGAACCTTTTTAGTAAACACAACAACCAAACTTGCAATTAACCCAACTTTTTACGGTAACTAATGATTCCTCCGAGTTAACATCTATCTCCTCTTTACTTAGGATACTTTAATTTTGTGGGATGACTTCACTAACGTGATGCTTTGGAAGGGTTCCCGGATAGATTGTATAGTTTTTTTTTTCTTCTATCCATTGTCATTTGTTGGGGAAAAAAGCTAAAAAATTAAATACTATGAATTTCCTAATAAATTATTAATATAACTTAACTTGTGGGACGAGAATGATAATGAAACACAAACCAATTGGGATTTGGGAGTAGGACTACAAAGTCTTACGATAAATTATCAAACACTGCTCCGCCGGCACCTACGACAACAGTTCAATCCCGCCGCTTGTTCTGCAGAAGCTCCTCCATCTCCTTGCTATCTTGTTTCTGCATCGTTCAGAGCCGCCACGATGAATCTGCTCCGCGACTCTACTGCTGACAGGATTAGCAACCTTCCCGGCGATGTGATAGAGCGCATTCTGATGTCCTTGCCGGTCAAAAATGCAGCGAGAACCAGCCTCTTGTCAAGAAACTGGAGGCATTGCTGGAGAAGCATTCCTCAGCTCGTCTTCGATCGCGATTTCGCTCCGCCCGCCGAAACAGAAGGAGGTCTTTACTCAACGGATGCCAATGATAAGCTAATGATGCACATTCAAGAAGCACTGCTGGGTCACGATGCCCCAACAATAACCAAGTTCGAGATCTCAATTCCTGGGTGTAGCTGGTGTCCTAAGGTCGACCTCTTGATGCTCCATCTTTCGCGCAAACGCGTAGAGGAACTTACCCTTCTCTTTTGGGGTAATCTCGATCACGAATCACCCCGGTTGCACTCATCCCTGTTCTCCTCTGCCTTTCCCCTGAAGCGTCTGAAACTGCAGTACTTGGTTTTCAGACCACCGTCTGGGTTCGTTGGATTTAGCAAGCTCACCTTTCTTGAACTGCAAGCGGTTAACCTGCCGTCTGATTTCTGCGAGAATTTCATTCCCCGCTGCCCGCTGCTTGAAGAGTTGAGGATTCTACATTGCAGTGCCAGAGAGCATGTCTTTGTGTCGCCTTCTCTCAAGGTGCTCCTGTTTCGCTCGCCTTTTCTGAAGATTTGTTTCAAGCACACCCCGATTCTTTCAGTGGTATCAGTACTTGATGACCAAGGGAAATCCAGTTACGTCGGAACATCGTTAGTGAAGCATAATCCGCGCTTCGTCCGCTTGTTTGCATCTCTCCCTGTAGTTGAGCACCTCAAGCTTGGCACAGAATTGCTGCTAGTAAGTTAAATGCATTCCTAATGTCCTTTTCAATTGTTCATTTTTTTTTGTTTTAACGTTGAGTCCGCGAAGGAGCCGAATTGTTGTGGCTACTCTCGTGCTTATCTGGTTAATCCGCAACCAGCTTTCTATACTCATTATTAACATGCTGCTATACTGGTTCATTTTCCCAGTTCCTTGCTGATGGTCATGTCCCCTACCAGCTTCCTACAGCTCTCCACAACCTAAAGTTCCTCGAAGTACCTGGTATTCTGTTGCATAGGTTGCCACAGGCGCGGGATCTTGTTTGTCTGATCAAGAGTGCCCCCAACTTGAAAAGACTCATCGTTCGGGTGGGATATTTTTTTTTAACTCTCTTCGTCGTGAATTGCTACTTGATCTCTTGTCTGTGTGATAGCCTCAACTTGTTTCTTGATGAATGTTTTTTCTTTTTTTTGTAGCTCGATGACAATGAAGAACGTGCGCCTTCAGAGGTTACTGCTAGTCTACAGACGTTGTTAGGAGAAGATCAACACCCTGGAGTCTGTTGCCTTCAACATTTGGAAGAATTCGACATTCAGGGCACTCGTGGTACGCGAGAGGAGCTGGAATTGGTGAGATTTGTTGTAGTCAATGCCCCCATATTTTGCAGGATCTCCATTAAGCACAAAGAAATATTGTTCGCGGATACTGTTTCGAAGTTCTCGAATGAGATGTTAATATATAAGCATATTGTTGGCGTGATTAATTGTACCCATTAGTAAACTATTATTACTCTGGGTAGTTTATTGTAATTGGTCTGCTTCTCCTAATTACCCTAGGTCTATGTCGATGGGTATTAGTGGGGTTTATATCCCTGGCAGCCAAACTATGCTTGTAGGCGGATTTCTATTCTGCCGATCTCATATAGTGAAACTCATCTGAGAGCTCTGCTCTCCGTGGACTAGTCCCGTTATTGGGGAAACCACGTAAATCATCGTCTCGTTTACTTTCCGCAGTTATCAGTTTTTACATGGTATCAGAGCAGTAATCGATCTCGCGGCCAACGATCACAACCATGACCAAGGATGAAGACTCTTCGAGTGGTACTAAGGCAGCGGTGATCGACTGTGAATCGATCCCGCGGACTTCCCCTTTATTTCTTCATCCCTCGGAAAATCCTGGGCAATTGTTTGGCCCCGATCTGTTAACGGATTTGAATTACAATGAATGGATTAGCGATATGACGGAGACCCTCATCGCCAAGAACAAAATGGCTTTTGTCAATGGCAGCTTACCTCGTTGGGCGGCAGGCGAGGGCATTCGTCTTGAAGCTTGGGATAGGTGCGACGCAACTGTGAAGGGTTGGCTCAAAACCACTATGAATAAAGAGGTTCGAAACAGCGTACGCGGGGCTAAAACGGCTAGGGAAATATGGTTGGACCTCGAGCAGCGGTTCGGAACCAGTTCTGCTGGGCGTGCCTATGAGCTACAGAGATTGCTTGGGTCTCTACGACAGGAGAAGTTGTCGGTTAGTGCTTTCTACACTAAGTTGCGAACCTTGTGGGACGAGCTTCAAACAGTTAGTATAAACCCTCGCTGCACTTGTGGAGGCTGCTCCTGTGACATTGCCAAGCAGACACGTGAGAAGCAAGAGGCTGAACATTTATTTGACTTCCTTCTAGGCTTGGACGACACCTTTTCTGTGGTGCGCTCCCAAATTTTGAGCTCCAAGCCGACGCCATCTCTTGCTGAAGCTTACCAGCAGATAGCAATAGAAGAGCAACAGAAGCAGCTGACGGCAGCTCGTCGTCCAGTGGTAGAGCCCGCCGCTTTTCACTCCCGTGGTGACAAAGATGCTGATTCTGACGATAAGCCACGGTGTAGCCACTGCCGCAAACGTGGTCATACCAAAGACATGTGCTTTCGACTCATTTGCTACCCATCCGAGCAAGGCAAAGGGCGCACTGGTGATGCCCGAGCAGATCGCCCAACTTCGAGTCGGCGTCCACAACACAAGGGAGTCCCGCGGGCAACGCAAGTCGACGTTGATGATAGCCCCATCCCTAGGCTTACCAGCGCCCAGTTTCAGCAGCTGAAACAGTTCCTCAATGCACCTACACCTGGGTCTTCGGATACCACGGCTCACATGGCTGGTATTGTCACTGAACCCTATGAATGGCTTATTGACTCGGGTTGTAATGAGCACATCGTTAGGGATGCTAGTTGGCTTGATAAACTTGATCGCAGTGACCATTATTCGCCTGTTCGTATCCCGAATGGGAGATGCATTCCTGTAGAAGGAACGGGCTCAGTTGCACTCACTAATCGGATTACGTTGCATAGGGTCCTTCATGTGCCAGAGTTCAAGTGTAATCTCTTGTCAGTTAGTCGACTCACACAGGACCATAATGTGGCCTTACTCTTCTTGGCTGACTTTTGTGTTCTTCAGGACTTACGTTCTAGGACAGTGATTGGACTGGGTCGCTTCGTGATGGCCTTTATTACTTACAACGGTGTCCGGAAGTCGTACGAGGGCATGAAACTGGGGCATTTGCTACCGCGGGCAGTGACGACAGCGTGCTCTGGCATCGAAGATTGGGACATCCGTCTGTGGACAAATTTTCTTTGTTACGTACTGTTTTGGGTTCGAAAAGGATTGGTTCTTCCAGTGGGCATTGTGATTCTTGTTGGCGTGCTAAGCAGACTCGTACAGTTTTCCCTTCAGGGTCCATTACGACTAGTGGTTGTTTGGATTTGATACATGTGGATATTTGGGGTGGCTATAGAACACCTTCTCTGGATGGTTGTCGGTTTTTCTTGACTTTGGTTGATGACTATAGCAGGGCTACTTAGGTTTATCTTCTAAAATATAAATCCGATGTTGAGCAGTATCTACGCTTATTTTGTCATATGGTAGTTACTCAATTCCAGCGGCAGGTGCGTCGAATTCAGGCCGATAATGGCCGGGAATTTCAGACCAATTCTCTCTTGTCTTACTACACTGACCATGGGATCATCCTGCAGACATCTTGTGTTCACACCCCTCAGCAAAACGGCGTTGTTGAGCGCAAACACCTACACCTCCTTGACACGGCTTGTGCTCTCCGGTTCCAAGCTGGCTTGCCTGTTCGCTTCTGGGGCGAGTGTGTCTTAACGGCTACGTATTTAATCAACCGCCTGCCATCGTCTGTGCTTTCCGATCGGACCCCTTTCGAGGTGCTCCTTGGCCGCCCTCCCACCTATGGTCATCTCCGCACTTTTGGTTTCTTAGTGTATGCCAAGGACACACACCCCGGTCTGGATAAATTTGATGAACAAGGTAGCCGTGGTGTGTTTGTCGGCTACCCGCACTCACAGAAGGGTTACCGCATCTATGACCTCCATTCGCGCAGTGTTTATGTCTCCCGCGATGTTCGTTTTGTGGAACATGAATTTCCCTTCTTACCTGTTGCATCACCGATTCCACTAGTGGCATATCTCGGCCCTCTCCACCCTCGTTGGTCATGTTTGAGGGGGAGTTCGAGACCCTTGATCCTCTTATAACAGGGCACCTCACTAGCTTGGATGACGTTTGCGAGAGCTTTGATCTTGGTGATTCTCCTCCACCTCCCATGCATGGTGACCACGTTCCCTCTCCTGTACATGCAGAACACGTCCCTGATGAGGATATATCTTCCTCTTCTGTGACCAGCGACGTTACCTCTTCATCACGAGAGGAGGAAAATTCACCTCCCGCGGTCGGTCCCTCCCCTGCACCGGTTTTACGTCGCAACGATAGGGTTCATCGTCCTCCCCCCAGGCTGGCCATCTACGACGTTCAGCTTCCGGGCGCATCTTCTAATGCGGTAGCCTACCCTATTTCCAAACATGTGACTTATCACAGGTTTACTCCCCGTCACCAAGCCTTCCTCGCTGCCATTTCTCAGGTTGTCGAGCCCAAGCATTTCCGCACTGCCGTTCAACATGCTTGTTGGCGTGAGGCGATGATTAAGGAGATCATGGCTCTGGAAGGTAACGACACGTGGACACTAGAGTTCCTACCCCCGGGAAACGTGCGATAGACTGCAAGTGGGTTTACGAAATCAAGTATAACCCAGATGGCTCCATCGAACGTTACAAGGCTCGTCTGGTTGCCAAAGTGTTCACTCAGATCGAAGGGGTCGATTTCTACGACACTTTTGCCCCTATTGCCAAGCTAGTCACAGTTCGAGTGCTCATTGTTGTTGCCGTTAATCGGGACTGGGCTATGCACCAATTGGATGTCAATAATGCTTTCCTTCACGGCGATCTTCATGAGGAAGTATACATGAAGGTACCCCCTGGGTTTTAAGGCACCTGGTGATAACCGGGTTTGCCGCTTACGGAAGTCTTTATATGGCCTCCGTCAGGCCTCTCGCAACTGGTACAACAAATTCACTCTTGTCCTTGCTGAACTTGATTTCGTACCTTCCCGTGCTGACCCCTCACTCTTGCTCCACCGCCGAGGTACCACTTTTGTTGTTGCCCTCATTTATGTTGATGATGTTATCCTCACTAGCAATGATGCACAGTTTATCACTAGCGTCAAGTCATTTCTTAATGACCGGTTTAGCATCAAGGACTTGGGGCCGCTCCGGTATTTCTTGGGCATTGAGGTAGCCCGCTCTCCTGAGGATGTTGTGCTTAGTCAACGCAAGTACACCCTTGACATTCTTCAGGATTCTAGCACTGTAGGTGCTCGCCCCAGTCGGTTTCCTATGGAGCAGAATCACACTCTCACCAGGCCTAGTTCTGACACGGCACCAAATGCTTCCTCTTATCGTTGTTTGGTTGGCCGTTTGGTGTATCTCACATTTACTCGGCCTGACATTGCGTATGCAGTAAATGTGCTCAGTCAGTTCGTCCACGCTCCTGGTCCTGAGCATGTCGATGTTGCTAACCGCGTACTGCGCTACCTCAAGATCTCTCCAGGCCAGGGCCTTTTCTTCCCTACTGGTAGCCCTCTGCGGCTTACTGCCTACTGCGATGCTGATTGGGGAGGTTGTCAGTCTACCCGTCGCTCCACCACAGGTTACTACATCCAGTTGGGTTCAGCACCCGTCTCTTGGCGTACTAAGAAATAGCGGGTTGTCGCCCGCTCGTCTGCCGAGGCCGAGTATCGGGCCATGGCTATTACAGTTAGTGAAGTGATCTGGTTGCAGTTTCTCCTCTCTGAGTTGGGCGCCCCACAGTCTGATCCGACACCTTTGTACTGCGACAACCAGGCGACTCTCCTTATCGCGGCCAACCCAGTTTTCCAGGAACGCACCAAGCACGTTGAGATGGATTGCCATTTTTCTCGTGAGCGTGTTGTCACCGGCACGGTTGCCCCTCTCAAGATCGATACTTCTTTGTCGTTGGCGGATATCCTTACCAAGGTTTTGGGTGGGGATCAGTTCCATTTTCTCTTATCCAAGCTTGGCATTCGTGATCTTCATGCTCCAGCTTGAGGGGGAGTGTTGGCGTGATTAATTGTACCCATTAGTAAACTATTATTACTCTGGGTAGTTTATTGTAATTGGTATGCTTCTCCTAATTACCCTAGGTCTCTCTCGATGGGTATTAGTAGGGTTTACATCCCTGGCAGCCAAACTATGCTTGTAGGCGGATTTCTATTCTGTCGATCTCATATAGTGAAACTCATCTGAGAGCTCTGCTCTCCGTGGACTAGTCCCGTTATCGGGGAAACCACGTAAATCATCGTCTCGTTTACTTTCCGCATTTATCAGTTTTTACACGTATTCCAAAAGAAGTTGAGGTC